CAATGATCACTGCTGGCTGCTATAGCAGTGATTGAACAAAAAAAACCAAAAAAACACAGGCAGTTGATGGATAGACTTCAGTACAACTAACCTACCCATAGAGAGATTTAAATTTGGCCAGTCCCTGCTGAACCTGTAAAAATTTTGATTAATCTATGGCCAGCATAAAGCAGAACTGAACCATCCAATCATTTTCAGCCAAGGAAGCTGCCAACTTAGCCTCAGTCTGATCTTCATCTGCCATGATGCTGCACATGTGATCCGTTATGACAACAGCCATTTGATCATTTGACAGTTTGGTTGCAAATGTGACAAGACTGTAGCTGTTTTTTAAACTGTTAAATTGAGTTGGGTTTAGTTCTGCTTTAAGAAAGGAAGTGTGTTTCTGGCTGGATCACTAGGAGAAATTAAAGGGGGTAAAAAAGAATATAATGTAGCTGCCACAATTAAAGTGGTTGTACATGCAATTATAAAAAAAATACTTTTTGCCATAAATTAATACATTTTAATGCAAACATACATACAGCTGCGAGTACCTCAAAAAATGTTCCCTTAGCTTGTCTCAGCCATCCAAAAATGGACTGGTCTGTGGGTGTGGCTTAGGACCAGAGAATAGTAGCGTAGATTTGATATCACACAATCCCTCCAGCCTCAGCTCAAGATTGTGCACAGATAATCTGACATCTCAATGCCTGCGAGCATGTCTGAGTGCATTCAGGGGAATGCACAGGCGCCAGTGAATATGTCAGTTCTGCTTACAGCACAGGATCTGTGTGAATCAGGAAAAAGCTGGTAGGAAGGGGTTCATTTTAAAAAACCTAGGAATCCTACAGTCAAAAGTGGCAAAGTGGACCAGGAAACATTTTCATGTAAAACTCTGTAAACAGCAATTCACACACTAGATGCTGTGAAGAGAGCAGGACAATAATCAGCTGTCAGCAGACTTACCTAGATAACTACAGCATTACTGAAGTGATGCCGATCTATGTCATAAATCACTGGTGCTGAGTTCTCAATCTTGTGAAGGCAGAGACCAGCAGGGAGAGGACACCCGTTCCCCCACCCTTTTGCAGTGTATTACATGGAGACTCATGCTGGTCTCATTTTCAGCACAGGTTGTCACTCACAGGAGAATGGGAGGGGCGACACCATTTTTCTGCTTGTGTCAGATTCATTTTGTTCTGAAGAGCAGGGGGGATTTCTGGAGAAGGGGATTGCTTCATGATACCAAACTAAGTTCAACTGTTTAGTAAAGGTAAAATCTATACAACTCTAGGATTAGATTGATCTGTGTTTTTTAGGTTTACAACCACTTTAAGAATTGGTAAGATGCAATGTATTACTTTTTCATTTTTGGGTTTGATACGGCTTTAGGCTACTGCCAAAACTAGAGAACTCCGAAAACTGTGTACTGTACTACTGCTACAGTGCTCAAGTTCAACAGATGATTACACACACACAAAATGCACACATAAGCAAATATACTACAGCAAAACAAGACGGCAGCATTGACACCCAATCCTCACCCACATACTGGCCTTTATTTTAATGGAAGGCCCACGGGCAGCCTGTTAACTTGTTGATAGGTCTTCCATGGTATGCAGTATATATCACTATGCAGTGTACAGGGTCAATCTGTAAGATATGCCTATTTAGAAAAGGTAGCAGGGCAGCGCTGGACAGGACCTACATATCATACGACTCAGCTCTTTCACCACCTACACATAATCTGACTACCTGTTTTCTGATTAGTGTATATAGGACATTCATAAACAAAATTAAATTCTATAAAATTACAAGCGCAACAATTGCAGACACAACAGAGACCCCTAGACACAAGAATAATAGAAACACTGAAGACATGCATACTGATTAAAAAAAGTAGGAACAGAACTGAAGAGAAGCAAAGCACAGGGTAGGGAAAAGGTCTTTATTGACAGGTCAGTAAAGACTGCAGCATTATTTCACAACAAATAGGAAAAAGAAATGGTTATCTTTAAAAAAAAATAAAAGAAGACAGTCTCGCCCTTTGAACATGTGCCATTAATGTGAGAAGTTTTCAATTCAAGCAGCTGGAAGTCAGTCAAAGATAATCTGCCACTGACAAAAGCAAAAAACTCCCAAGGGACCGATGCCAGCTGAAATTTTATTAAGACATTTTTGTAACCTGGCTCTAGAGATTTGTCAATTGTTGTCAAAAAGCACTTTCAATATAGTGGTCATTTCCTTTAATTTTTTAAATGGATAACTTATCTACTAGATGTTTGCCTACCACCAACTCTGTGGATGCAATAATACACAGTAATACAATCAGAGCGAGAAGGAGAAAATGGTATCACTATAAAACAGAATGCGCTCTCTCCTTTTTAAACATTATTGATCAGTTTAGAAAGCTAGGCAGCACAATATTTGAGTTTTGACTTTGATCTTATTGAGACATGTTTAAATAAAACACAGCACATCCTATTTCATTGACTATCAGTTGTGTTTCGTGCGACAGCCATGAACACTAACTCTTATGCAGGCCATAGATGGGGAGAAAAACGGCCGATTTTTCGTCCGAAAATAAAACCGGCCGATTATCTTATCGTTAGTGGACGATTTTGTCGGCCGTTTTTCGTGTATTTTGGACTTTCAGATTATCGGTGATGTTGGAAAATTTTCGAAAAACGCCCGACTTTATCCTCATTGATGGTCAAAAACGAACGATCGTTTTCCGAAAAAGGATCACAAAGGCCACAAAATGACATCATTTCCCGTTATAGGTTACTCATTAATCGGCCGATTTTCGTAATAATTGGTGGTCAGGTAAGTTTTTTAGACCGACCGATAGTTCGTTAATCGGCCGAAAAAATCTGCCGTTTTTCTCCTCATCTATTGGCATTACTGTTAATGCATAGACAAAAAAAAAAAAAAAAGGACGACCATACACTAGTAGATTTTCAAACTTTTCTACGAATGTTCACATGAACATTCATGAAAAATTCTCAGCACATGCAATGACTTCATGGAGTTTCATTTGCTTTTAACATTCAATTTTGAAATCAATGGACTTCACTGACCGAACATCAAACTCACCGATAGAAAGTTTGTGCAAGAAACATTTTCCATCATGCTGCCTCGATTTTTCACATCACTGCAGTTGAAAATATGATTTGACCCTACTGACCATTAGAAAAAGTGAATGAATGTTCAAAACATGATTTCTGAACAAAATTCTACTAGTGTATAACCAACTCAAGGAAGTCCCTAGCAAGTCAAAGCCAAGTAGAGAAATAGGGATGTGTGAAGTAGAGCCAAAGCTCTTTCGGCTGTACTTCTCCTGAGGATCACAGGAGTGCAGCTTGTTGTGCACTCCTGTGACCTGTTCTCATTTGACAGTGGGCTGAAATCACTAAGCTGGTCCAGATTGGGTAAAGATCCCGACTTTAAAGTCAGGATCCACCCCAGAGTCTGAAGCAGCACCTAGCTCAGCCTCTCAGCGAGCCGCTCCCTCCCCATCCCCACAGGGGGGAGTGACAGTCACTGCTCTCTGCTCAGAGCAACTGTGAGAACACAGCGACCAGCAGCCATGACCAGCCGGATGGAACAGATCGGACCGATGTTGCATCCACCTAGGAAAGTATAATTGGAAAAAAAAAAATGAAAGCCATACTTCTCTTTTAAATTGATTTACTAAAGGTGCTTTAGCAGCATGCAATTTTAATAAAGCAACTGCCCAAAGAAAAAACAGCTTTAAAAAGCCCATAGAAAGGAGCTTTAAATTGGTTGTAAACCTTTCATATACCCAGTGAGGAGACTAACATCAGGTGATACACAAACGGGAACAGATGATCCTACATAAGTTGTACCAGTTTGTCTGCCGCCCTCTCTTTACATCAGTTAAAAGTCCAGAATTTTAAACAGCACTATAAGCTTCCAGAGGCAGAGGGCTGCAATCTGATGTCACACACTACACATCTTAGAGAGAAATGTTGAATGCAATCTGAGACCTGAGTGGAGGGAAGAAAAACATCCCCATTTACAAAATCTCATAGGAAACAAAGCTGAGTCTGTCAATCACAGGGAGTGCGCTGGAGGCCCCCCTGCCAGTTCCCATCCCTTGGAGTCTGTGCAGCCTGACAGACAGAAAACAGTAGAACCAAATTGCAAACAAAAATCACAGTCAGTGCTTTGGATTGGGACAAATACACACTATATAAGGATATTCTTTGTTCACTTTTCATGTCAGAGATTTATAACCACTTTAAATAGAAAACAAATTACATTAACATTCAAAAACATAATAAAGTGTCACAGAAGCCAAATGCTTGTTAATTGCAGCATGAAGTACGATGACATTTTTGACAGTATAAAAGTTAAATACATATGTACTATTCTTGTGTAATAACACTGAATGAACATGAATTCAGTAAACATTTACAAAAAATACAAATGCTGACAGTAACAACCCAATACAGCCTAAGAGTGAAATGACTACCACACAGCTTCAAGTATTAGACATACCAACTTTTTAAAGCTCCACAGAACACTAAAAAAGCAGTCACTCATTCAACAAGACAAAATAAAAAACAGCAGCAAAGGCAGTACTATCGCCAAAACCCATGGAAATATCAAACCGCCAAAATCGAAACATTGTTCACCAACATGAAAGGTTAAACGCTTGAAAACAACTGAATAGAGGTAGCTTTAGTCGAGTGACAATTGGGGTCCCAGGAATTAAAAACATAGGTAGATAGACTGATGGCAGCTTGCACTTTTAACTACAAGTCATACCAATCCGTTTACGTACACTTCAATATCTGGATATGAAATTAGCTTAAATTTGCTAAAAGGGATGCTATGCTCACTTCTACAGGGTATGCAAGCAAGTGTAGGATATCTCCTGAGAATTCATTAAGCAAGCTGCACAAAGCCAACACACACCACTGCTTTACACATGAGCGGAAATGCTCACTGCCAAGGGGTCTATAGGAAGTGGCAAGTAGTGTTGTGCTTACTTCAGACACTTTTTTAACGGCTGATTCGTAGTCCTCAGCAGTGTCTTTGTCTTCATCTGTGTCACTGCTCACACCGCAGAAAAAGGTTAGAGGCAATTTCAAGCTTTCAGCTTTGGCTTTTTCTTCTGGTGTGGGAGTTTTTTCCCAGACAATTATACATTCCATCTCCTTAGCATGCTGTTGCCCTTGGCCTGAAAGAGTGAGGAAAAAAAAAAACAAAACAAAAAAAAAACTTTTTAAATGGTTAGAAATATTAGCAATTGGTTTTGCTTATAGCAAAGATGCGATTTTCCACTGCTATATTAAACTTTTACCTTGTAGGTAAAATTAAAAATACCTCTACAGGTCAGTTAGGTACATTGCAAGGATTAGAAGCAAATCTAAACCTAAAATTTAAAAAATTGAACATATTACAATTAACCAATCCTTCACAATGTGGTAACTACATGTGTTCACTTTTTGGGGGCTTTTTCCCTTTCATTTTACTTAACGATGGATGTACATTAACAGGATAAGTTCACCTTTAAAAAAATAAATACCGTATTTTCCGGCGTATAAGACGACTTTTTACCCCTTGAAAATCTTCTCAAAAGTCGGGGGTCGTCTTATACGCCGATAACGGCATGCTGACACTTCCCCCCCCCCCCCCCCCCCCCCCCCTTCTAACAGAAGGGAAACTAAGTACAGGGGTGGGCAGGGGCTGCTGTCTCTTACCTGGCTCCGGTCCCACGACGATCCGGTCCAGGAAGCGCGGCTGCTCCTTCCTTCGGTTCGTCCACTGGATGTTCACGCGGCTGCTCAGCTCCACCTCCTCACCGGTGATTGGCCGCCAGAACTGTAGCTCAGGAAAGGCACACAGGCGGCCAATCACCGGCGAGGAGGCGGAGCTGAGCGGCCCCGCGAAAATCGAGTGGAGATGCAAGTAAGTGTACCGTGCTTAGGTGCTGCTGCAACCACATATGCTGACTGCAGCAGCACCGTACTGCAACAGGGGTCAGCAAGTGTCAGTGGGAGGAATAGTGCCCCATCATTGGTGTCACTGATACCAATGATGGGGCATTATTCCTCCCACTGACACCAACGATGGGGCATTATTCCTCCCACTGACACCAACGATGGGGCACTATTCCTCCTCCCCCCCCACTGACACCAACGATTGGGCACTATTCCTCCCCCCACTGACACCAATGATGGGGCACTATTCCACCCCCCACTGACACCAATGATGGGATACTATTCCTCCCCCCCCCCCCCCCCTGACACCAACGATGGGGCACTATTCCCCCCCCCCACTGACACCAATGATGGGATACTATTCCTCCCACTGACACCAAAGATGGGGCACTATTCCACTGACACCAATGATGGGGTGCTATTCCCCCCAATGATACTAATGATGGGGCACTATTCCTGCCACTGATACCAAAGATGGGGCACTATTCCACTGACACCAATGATGGGGTGCTATTCCCCCCAATGATACTAATGATGGGGCACTATTCCTCCCACTGACACCAATGATGGGGCACTATTCCTCCTACTGATACCAATGATGGGGCACTATTCCTCCCACTGACACCAACGATGGGGCACTATTCCTGCCACTGATACCAATGATGGGGTACTATTCCTCCCACTGACACCAATGATGGGGCACTATTCCTCCAATGACACCAATGATGGGGCACTATTCCTCCCACTGATACCAATGATGGGGCACTATTCCTCCCACTGACACCAATGATGGGGCACTATTCCTCCCACTGATACCAATGATGGGGCACTATTCCTCCCACTGATACCAATGATGGGGCACTATTCCTCCCACTAATACCAATGATGGGGCACTATTCCTCCCACTGACACCAATGATGGGGCACGATTCTTCCCACTGGTGTGCACTGGAAGAGGGGTAGTCTTATACGGCGAGTATAGCCCAAACACTACATTTTAAACAGGAAAAGAAGGGGGTCGTCTTATACGCCCAGTCGTCTTATACGCCGGAAAATACGGTACATAATAAAATGCTTTTTTTTGTTGCTGGTAAAAAGCATTGCATCCACGATCAGCAGATCTCTGGTGCCATGCAGGACACCTGCAGAATGTCAGTGTAAGCTGTCTGCTCGTACATCGTATATACATCGTCTATAGTTTTCGAATCATATCTGGGAAAGCTAAAACCATGTCAGATATTTCAGTGAAAGCAGAACTTTATCCATAACAACTTCATAAAATATAACGTTCTTTAGCAAGGAACATACATGCTACATGAATAATTATGCTTCCAAAATTAGTATGTGTTGTAAATTGCCTCCAGCATTGTTCCGATTTCTAATTGCTGGAGGCTGCCATTTTGCTGAAGCCCAGATTCCCTGAGCAGTATTAAATCTTTAGGCTGTCAGAAATCACTGGGTCCTGGCCTGTACAATTTTTGGCACAGTAGCAACTGAGCATGTGCAGAACCGGGTGAGACAGTGATTACTGGATTTTAAACGGTATAGGCACTTATTTTAATGTTTAACAAAGCTATGCCTTCTAAAGGAGCCATCCTGAAGTTATCTAGCAGGACTTAATTTTCTTACTAAAGTTCCACTTTAAATTCACAGGAAGTGACAAGAATACTGCAGGTATTTTTTGTACTTGTTAAAAATTTACTTAGCCTGAAAAAAGAAAACCAACCCAGCAACCACATCTAAGGGCTGATAAGCTGAAAACTGCAATTCATAAAATATATGTTCTTGAGTTTTAGATATCCCTTAGGTACACTTTACAAAAACTTCCTAAAGCAGAACTAAATCCCGCTATACCTTAAAGCCAAAAAAAGCTGACATCCTAATCTCTAATCAGTTATGACACCAGCCAAATATTTGATGGCTTGACAGTTTGCCTAAAGTGGAACTTTAGTCAGAAAATTAAGCCCTTTAGAACACTTCAGGCTGGCCCCTTTTGAAGGTATAGATATGTAAAACATTAAAAATAAGTGCCTGACCTGTGTAAAATCCAGTAATACACTGTCACATCCTGCTATGCACATGCTCAGTTCTCTATATTTTTAGGCACTGCCAAATTTGTAGAGGCCAATCTGCTGACAGCCTTGAAGCTAAATTAAACCCTCCTATCCTTTACAGCCAAGGAAGCAGCTTCTGTTTGATCTGCGGAAGAAGAAAGAGAAGTGCGCCAGACTAAGTGCAGTATGAATATAAAAGTTTATTGCACACAAGATTATAAAAACTCACAAGACGTGGGTAGATATCAGGCATCAATATATAAGGAGGAGGATGTCATCTGTGCTGCACCTCACAAATGGATGGCTGTAATGTCAAGGTGTTGCGTGGCTGGCGCTCTAGGCGGGTCCCACAGGAGGAAGCGAGGATGGCAGGCGCAGTAACCGGGAGTCGCGGCGCAACACCTTGACATTACAGCCATCCATTTGTGAGGTGCAGCACAGATGACATCCTCCTCCTTATATATTGATGCAATCTACCCACGTCTTGTGAGTTTTTATAATCTTGTGTGCAATAAACTTTTATATTCATACTGCACTTAGTCTGGCGCACTTCTCTTTCTTCTCCATTTACCACAGAGTCCGGTTTACTCTAGAAAGTGCAAGCCTCACGACGGTGTCTACATTGCAGCGTTGTATATATATGTATACACATATATATACCATCTATCTCAATCCAGTACTGTTTGCATCACAAGGCCTTTTTTCCCCTCCTTTCCCTACCCCCCTCCCCTCCCCCCTTCCCTCTCCTCACCACTAAAGCTGCATCATCTACTTGTTGCCCCTTTATTACTGGCATGTACGATTATATATCTTAATTTCTGTTTACTGGATTATTTTGTTTAAGGTTTGCTGAGTGAACCTTATGTCCACTACAAATTCTCTTGCGCCAATTGCATTATTTTTATTTTTGTCTGTTTGATCTGCAACTGCCATGCTGCTGCACGTGTGATCAGTTATGACGCCAGCCATTTGATGGTTGAACAGTTTGGTTGAGGAAGTAAATGTGACAGTTCGCAATCCTGGCATTCCAGGAATGTAACTTTTTTTTTTTTTTTTAAACCGTTAAATCGCTGGGTTTATGTTTGGTTTATAATTTACTGCTTGTCATTAGATCTCAGATTTAGCAATACAGCAGCCTCCAGCAAAAACAGGAGCAATGCTGGAGGCAAATTGCAGGGCACACTAACTTTGGTAGCATAATTAACCACTTGCCCTGCAGACTTTGACAATGCGCAGTCATGCAACGCTGTACATAAATGAAATGTATGTCCTTCTTTCTCAAAAAAACCTTTGCGGGCTTTTATTTTTTGCGCTATAAACAAAAAGACCAACAATTTTGAAATAAAAAAAAAAAATAATATTGTGACTACTGACTATTTGCTATAAAACATATCCAATAAAACAATGTAAAAAATCTAATTTCTTCACAAATTTAGGCCAAAACGTATTCTGCTACATGTCTTTACTAACAAAAAAAATCACAATACGTGTAAATCGGTTCACGTGAAAGTTATAGCGTCTACAAATGGCGGTATACTGTGGTTTTTTTTTTTATACTAGTAATGGCGGCGATCAGCGACTTATAGCGGGACTGCGGTGGGCATTCTGACACTGGGTGGGACCTGCCATTGACATCCCCAGTGTCTATACAGTGATCAGTGTCAGTACTGATACTGGGCAGGAAGGGGTTAACATCTGGGATGATCAAAGGGTTAACTGTGTGCTGTGTTTTACTAGGGAGACATGCTGTTTTGTATCTCTCTGCTGTGCAGATACAAAACAGCATGTCCATGCTGATAGGAGAGAGACCTGAGTTGTTTACACAACAGGTCTCTCCCCTGTCAGCTTTACCTGATGACTGCAGAGTGCCAGCTGGGACCCAGTGATTGACATCCCTAGCCGCCAACAGCGGCGCGTGTGCCCCCTACCTGGAAATGCAAATTACGTATATACACACACACACACACACGAGTTTGCACAGCCCTGCCATCCTGTAGCAGTACTTCTGCTATAGGGCAGCGGGAAAGTGGTTAACTGTGGAATGTATGTTCCTTGCTAAAGAACATTATTTTTTTTATCAAGTTGTTATGGGTAAAGTTACACTTTAACAGCAAAAGCAAAATGTGGCAGTTATTCACAGCATGCCCTGAATGTAACCAATTTGGAAAACCATTAAAAACGATGGGCTTAGTTTTACTTTAACTGCAGCTTTTTACTGTTTTTTTCACAAGTATTAGGGCTTGTTCACACCATGGTGCAGAGACCTCAGTTTTTCTGCATGCGTTCTGCATGGGCACAACAAAATCAATTGTTCTCTATGTGCCCTGTTCACACCACACTAGTATCACCTACAGATTTTTTTCTGTGCAGCAATCTGCAACCTGTATAAAACTCTTTGAAGCACGCATGAAAACGGATTTCTCTGCAAGTGAAATCTGCGTATCAGATTCCATCAGTTTTCATGCACGTATGGTGTGAATGAGCCTTCAAGCTTCAGTAGATGGTTTCCCAGGCTTGGCAAGGGGAGGAGTGCAATTCTAAAGGAGGTGAGAAATTCTTCAGGCATAAAACAAGCGAACACACACACATATTGTACATTTCCAAACATTTCCAATTAAGTTTTATGGGATCGCAAACACATGAACATGAAAAATAAAAAAGCATAGGACACAAGTGTAAATAGGCACGATTAGAAAATAATGTGATTCTGCATAGTTAGGCAGAGGGAAGCAAGCAGAAAAAACGCACAAGTGCAAATGAAGGCTAAGAGTTTCCTCCTACATTCAGCGACTTAAATTCGGTTTGTGAAACAGCTAATATTGCTGCTAAATCGTGCCTAGGAGATATTCACTGTACATACAGGTAAGCCTTATTATTAAAGAAATCCTTTATATCTGAATTCTAGTTACACTGCTAATAGGCATGCATGTGCAAGGGAAAAAAAAACAAAAAAAAAAAACACTGTATGCATGTGGTTCAGTGCTAATAGATTAAATCTATCCTAAAGGTACAAGAACAGTTTCTGTTCTCAACCAAACAATAATTTACACACTTATTTAGCAATAAATACCTTTGACCTTTTTATCTTCTTCATAAATTTGTCCATTTAACGTCTTAACAGCAGCCTCAAAGTCCTCATCTGTACAAAAGAGCAAAATTGTTATTTAAATCAACTGGTTAACACCTAAATACGTGCACACAGAATAATGCAACACAAATTCAGACATGAGTGACTGCTGCCAATTTGCCTCACTAGGTGAAAAAATTGATGGAAGCAAGATTAAATCCAAGGACCAAAACAGTCCTAATTTATTCTTGAGTAATAACAAAGGACGCCATGGGTGTAAGGAAAGTAGCCAGCCTGCATTTCTTTATCAAGTAAACATTAAGGCAACTCAAAAGGCAGCACAGTGGCTAAATGGTTAGCACTTCCGCCTGGCAGTACTAGGGTCGTTGGTTTGAATCCCAGCCACGGCACCTCCTGCCTGGAGTTTGCATGTTCTCCCTGTGCCTGTGTGGGTTTCCTGCGGGTACTCGGTTTCCTCCCACACTCCAAAGACATGCTGGTAGGTGAATTGGATCCTGTCTAAATTGTCCCTAGTATTTGTATGTATGAATGTAAGCTAAGGACCTTAGATTTTACGCCCCTTGAGGGTTAGGGACTGATGTGAATGTACAATATATATGTAAAGCACTGCGTAAATTGACGGTGCTATATAAGTACCTGAAATAAATAAATAAAAGGTAAGTCAATGCATACTGCATGTAACTTGTTTAGGAGTCTGATGCGTGAGCCACAATATATCAAGCAGTTTAACAAAAAATTTTGTATCCACATAAATGTGAAGTTACCATCAACATCATTTTCGTCACTGACATATCCAGGCTTGTTCTTGTAGCAGAAGAAAGTAGGAGGAAGTAGCAGCTGATCTGCTAGTGCTCTCTGTTCTTCTGTTGGAGTCAACTCATACACAAAAAGCACATCAGGGGAGCTGTCCAATTCAAGAGAACTACTACTCTTTGCTGAAAATATTAATAAAAAAGAAAAATATTTAACAAACAAGCAACCACCAACAGGGATACGTAGTAGAAGGTAGTATAAAGGGTTACATAATGGTTAAGCTGCTAGTAGGAAATATAACATTTCAATAAGCAAGGTGTCAAAGAACATTAGTCAAGCCATTTCTCTTGCCCTACTGAATATAAGATATATATGAGAATTTGACTGATATATCTCAAGCATTAAAATAAAAAAATATGTTATTTGGCACTTGAATTTGAAGTTTTAAAGTGGCTGTTAAAGTAGTTGATAGGTGCATATCATACTTTAAAAAAAATAAAGCACTTCCACTTCAAAACAAAAGCAAAAAGACTTGTGTCCAATGCTGAGAAAATAGGAATGTTGAAGAGGTGTTTGATATATTTTCGGCAGTTTTTGTGCAACACAGTTTTTGTTTAGCAAAAACAAAATGTTATTCAAGAATTAGGGGCTATGGTGATATATATTGATCTGGAAATGTTGGGATATTTTATCGCTCATCTTCGCACTATGATTTATGGCTAACGAAAGAAAAAAAAAGGTACTGCTGTATACTGTATAGTATTATACTGATTATACTGTAAAAAACAACAGATGAAACCTCTAAGTAGGCATGTACCAATATATCAGTGACCCAAAAATATCGTCCGAAAATAGTGGTATCTGCATTTTTCCAATAGGAAAAAAGGTGCCGATACACGCAAAGTAGCGTCTCAGACTATCATGCAAAAATGTCCCCTAGTGACTTCAATGCAAAATCGTGTCTCATAGACTTTCATGCAAAGTTGCATCCCTATCGACTTTAAAAGAGAAGTATGCCCCCCCATTTCTACCTACCTAGGTGAAAGCAGCACCGTTTCTCGGCCGACCCTAAGAGTCAGACCTCAGATGTTACATGACCACGGATTTCTCACAGCTGCTCTGAGCAGAGTGGTGCCTGTCAGCCATCGATGTCTACTCTGTCCCTTTAACGCAAAAATCACCCCCCTAGTGACTTCAATGTAAAAATGTGTCTGACAGACTTTCATGCAAAATCACGTCCCTGTTGACTTTAATGCAAAAACTGCCCCCCAGTGACTTTAATGCAAAATCGTGTCTCAGACTTTCATGCACAATAATGTCCCCATTGACATCAATGCAAAAACGCCCACTAGTGACTTCAATGCACGATTGCCAGCCACATGAATTCAATTTTGGCCAAATACATCCTGAGTTTTTGGTTTTGGCACCAAAATTTTCATTTTGGTGCGCCACTACCTCTAAGACAGGAGTAGGTGACCTTTGAAAGCTGGAGATCTACCTGAACACCATGGAAGAGATCAAAGATCTCCAAAGTGCAGCTTTTTTTTTTTTTTTTTTAGTAGTAGCAGTAGTTAACCAGAAAGCCCCCTGTAAAAAGTAAGGACAAGGAGGGTATGGAGAAACTGTAGAAAAATATACTAAAACTAATAACACTGTATAAATATAAATCTAGCCTATCTTAAAAATTAGCTGCAGTCAGAAACTCTGCATTCACAATTTTTTCATGTCTGGGGAGTAACTGCTCATCCCCTCAAGTCCGATGCCGTAGTACATCATGAAGTCAGAACATCTGGTACTGAAGGCTGACTTGATTGATTAGTTTCAGGCCTAGCTGTTCTGTTCTCGCCAGTATAGTAGGTCAGGCAGCGTGCAGAGGTCAGTAGTAGGTCAGGCAGCATACAGAGGTAGGTAGGGCAGCGTACAGAGGTCAGTAGTAGGTCAAGCAGTAGGGCACACCACTGGGGGCTTCAGGGTGGCATAGGATTACACAAAAATGGTTACCTCATGCAGAGCAGAGCAAGCTGCTGTGGCAGATCTATCTGTTCTAGTGTTGATCCCAGTTTGCCCTCCTCTCAACCATCCTACAATTCGTCATCCACAAGCACCGAAGAGGAGGGCCTGATGGGATCAGCACAATACACTCCAGGGATGAGCTCAGGCACCTACGGACAAGAGCCTGAACCTGGTCAAGTTATCATTCTGAAGCTATTATGCGTGGCAGAGACATTCGTAGCCCCACAGCAAGGGACATGAGCAAAGGGCGTGCTGCAGGGCAGGGAATGCCTTTCTTGGCTAGGATTGGCTTTTGATAGCTTCCCAGCAGCTCACCACTTCCCTGCGCAGCTCTGTCAACTGCGAGTTGGCACGCTGGGATGAGACTGCGATCTACCAGCTCACGCTCGACTGGTTGCCGACCACCGCTCTAAGAAATATTAAATTGTTTGAGATCTCAAGAAACATCACACGGACGACGCTGACCAATCATAAGCCATCTAGCCCATATGGTCAGCACTGTGAGGGGAGAAAGCCATGGGGGTTTCAAATCGCCAGACTGGTGAAGAATGTTTTCAGTGTCTGACAGTGGGGGATTGCAGCAACCTGGTACAGCAGGGCCAGGGGTCCAGTGTAAGGCCACCTTACAAATTTTCTGTAAAGGTGAACTTGCACTATAAGCACAGGATGGTGGATGTCTCAAGCTGCTGGAGGCTATGGAGAGACAGCGGTTTGAGATGCAGGGAAGACCGCCACCTCTGGGAGAAGGGAACAAAGCTAGGGGAGAGGCAGGAGGCCACTGATGTCCGCAGTCGGGATTGGGAGCCGGAGCTTTGTTGGTGGAACCAGTCATGCAGGGAGGTTTCCTGCACTACTCCTGTGTTCACACAGAAGCTGTGCAGGAGACCACATGTGATTCGGACTGGAATCATACCACATTCCTGTTCAAATCACAAATGATGCTTTGCAGTGCGATTTGAGACCATTTAATAAGGGCTCAAATTGCACTGCAAAGGTATTGGTTTTGGGTATCAGAGCATTTGCACAAGTACTAATGCAAATACTCAGTATCAGCACCAATACCAAATATCTGTATCGGTGCAACCATAGAACTAACCATGCTGAGTTAAACTGTCCTCTTCCATTTTTCATCTGCACTCACACTGGGCTATCAGCAAGTGTTCCTGAGCACATTTACATCATTTCTGCCAACCAAACTACAGTGATCTTTGCTTCTGTGCTTAGTCATCTATGGAGAGTGCTATGCTCAGGCATGGATTGCACCAACACTGAAGCAAACCATACTGGACCACAGGTAAACTGTACCCAGGACCACCTGGGCCTTGGGCATGGTACACTTAACCGCTCCCAGGCACAGTTTCGGAGCACTCACACTACACAAACGGAACCAGGGGGGGTGAACTGTGCCTGGACTCTTAAAACTGCATGCACCCTAAATAAAAGCAGATTAACAAAGCACGTGGTTACAAACATCCTAAAAACAAAGGAGATATATTTGTAAACAGCTGCCAGTCAACCAGTAAAAACTAAAGCATGTTTTTTTCATGCAGATGCAGCACACAGGACACTAGCATGGAAATCACCACAATGAAAAGCAGAGTCGCTATACAGATTATAAAAACAGACAGGGGAATGAGGATATCCAAGTATCTGAGTACCAGGTTATCTCCGAAGGGAAAGGAGGAGGAGAAAAAAAAAAAAAAAAAACAAACAGTTGTAGCTGGCTCTGAAATCCTTTCCAGCTAATCACATCTTGCCCAAGAGTGCTCAGCTAGGATCTGACAGTAAGGGTATATAGACACAAACATTTCCTATTTGAACATACATCGGTCTTTCAGACAAAGTCCCTCTTTTCCCTGCAGGCGTCTTAAAACCGGGATTGAATCCGTCAGGTTATCTGCTGGGGGACCAGTTGCAGAGTTTAGAAAAATAAAACAAAAGACCAACACACTAAGGGCCAGTTCACACACCACAAAAAAAAAAAAAAAAACAAAAACCTTGGTTGGGTTCCGGATGCATTTTGCTTACAGAAAAATAAAATCAAAAACACACAGGACTGCACCTGGCGTGAACTAGCCGTTAGGGCTGGTTCACATTAGATGCAGTTCAGTGCAGTTTTGTTATGTAAGCAAATACGCAACCGGAACCCATCCGGGGTTCCTTTTTGTCCACATCAAAAATGCATGTGCAGTGTTTTCCATGTATTCCAATGGCCCTGGTTCACACCAGTGCAGTCAATTCCAAAAAAAAAAAAAAAAAAAAAAAAAAAAAAGAAAAGCAGAACATGCTCCATTTTTTCTGCACTGAACTGTACTGAAACACAGCAAAACGTACTGGAAAGGAGTGTGGTGTGAACTGTAAGCAAAAATGCATCCAGAGTGTGCTTTTGTGGTGTGAACTGCCCCTAAGGGCACGGGCCTCTGTTGACAGAATTAGGGCTTGAGACATTTCCCAAGATGATTAAGAATTCACAGACAGGTGCATTTCACTTGCAATTGAGTTTTGCATTTCTATAAACTTGTAGGAGCAGGAAAAATTAGTCTTACGCCATCAAAAACCCATCGACACAGGCCCTAACATTGGACAGTTTTACTTAAAAATAACCCCTTTTGTACAGCATCTGGGTTTCCAGATAATACAAAATGAATGAATAATATACTATTCTTAATGCACTTGGGATCACTAAAAAAAAAAAAAAAAAAAAAAAAAAAAAAAAAAAAAAGCCATTTTTTTTTTTTTTTTTTTATGCATTATTAATAGGCTGGTATTTGGAGAACAAAAATGAACCCTGTTTAAAGCAATAACTTTATTATGAGTGAAGCAAAACAGTTAGTCTCTGCACCCTGCTATATTATCTATGCATGCAAAACACTACCAACACACACAGTGGGATATATTTTGTATGATTGGAACACAAGCCATCACAGCCTTCAATCTTTGGTTATAAAAAGAGAACACTAGGTGAAACAGACTTTCAACCTATGAACTTTTCACACAGTGCAGATAGTTCATTATTTGCATGCAAATACAGCTACATTAACCACCAAGGTAAAAAATGCTGGACAAAAAAAAAAAAAGGAGTATGACTATAAGCCAATGTAGCACATTACACACATGACTGGATTAGTGGAATAACTTATACATTTTCATAAATAACCACAAAGTATGC